ATATCAAGTAATATTTAGCATTTAAAATATCAAGTATTATTTATCATATAAACATATAAAGTCTTATTTAGCATTTAAACATATCAAGAATTATTTATCATTTTATGTATTATTAAAAAAGATCAAATATTGTGTAATATTCAATCAAGTTTTCGATCAACTATTGGTTTTTTATTGGATGTAACGATTATAAGGTAAGTATTATGGATCATTAAAAATATCAAGTATTGTATTATGGATCATGCAAAATATCAAGTAAATAAGTATTAAAAAATATCAAATAATCTTGATCATACAAAATATCAGATATTTTTTAGCTTTTAAAAAATATCAATTTATGGATCACAAAAAAATATCAAGTATTATTTTGCATTTAAATTATCAAGTAATATGGATGATACAAAAATATCAATTATTATTTAGCATTTAAAAAATATAAAATAATATGGATGATACAAAAATATCGAGTATTATTAAGCATTTAAAAAAATATCAAGTAATATTTAGCATTTAAAAAATCAAATATTTATTTAGCATTTAAACATATCAAGTTTTATTTATTATTAAAAATATCAAGAATTATTTATCATTAAAAAATATCAAGTATTATTTATCATTAAAAAATATCAAGTTTTATTTATAATTTAAAAACATCATGTATTATTTATCATTATAAAATATCAAACATTATTTATCATTAAAAAATATCAAAGTATTATTTATCATTAAAAAATATCAAAGTATTATTTATCATTAAAAAATATCAAGTATTATTTATCATTAAAAAATATCAAGTTTTATTTATAATTTAAAAACATCATATATTATTTATCATTAAAAAATATCAAACATTATTTATCATTCAATTAAGTTTTCAATCAATTATCTTTTGTTTTTTTATTGAATGTAATGATTATTGGTAAGTATTATGGATAAAATAAAAAGTAATATGGTTCATACAAAAATATCAAGTAATTTGGATCATGCAAAAGTATCAAATATTTAGCATTTAAAAAATAAAAAGTATTATGGATCATAAAAAATATCAAATATTATATATCATTTAAAAAATATTAAGTAATATGGATCACACAAAAATATCAAGTATAGAAATCAAATTTGAAAGAAATAGAATATAAATATAGATAAAAATAAAAATTAACATATCAACTATTGTGTAACATCCAAATATATCAAGGACTATTTGGCAGCACCAACAAGAAACAAGTGCTTTAAAAAAATTTAATCTTTGTCAAGTCAAATTTCCATTACATTTATTTGTTTGTTTTTTATTTACCCATTACATTTATTTGTTTTTTTATTCACCCACTACATTTATTTGTTTTTAATTATTCACCCATTACATTCCATTTCATTCTATTATCAATATGGTGGTTAGTTATGTATTCTGCGTGGTGGGATACATAATTAACCATTCAGCTCTAATATACTCACACACTACATTTATTTGTTGTTTTTTTAATTCACCCATTGCATTTCATTTCATTCTATTACCAATATGGGGTTAATTATGTATTCTGCGTGGTGGGATACATAATTAACCACTGATATAAAAACAATTCACAAATATATACATTCAGGTAAGTGGTGGTTAATTATGTATTCTGCGTGGTGGGATACATAATTAACCATCGGCTCTAATATACTAACCTCCCCGTGGTAGAGCTGGAAACACTCTTTACAAAGAGTGGCTAATAGTATAAAAAATATAAATAAATAAAATAAATAAAATAATGGTATTAATATCATTTTATAATCTTTAAAAATTAATTATAAAATCTTTAAAAAAAAATTTTTTCTTTATTTTTTTTTTTTGAAAGTTTAATTTAGTGATTAAAAAATATCGTTATTCTCAGTTTTTACCAACTATAGTTGGCGTATTCATTTAATTATTCATTTTTATTCAGTATAAAAAAGAGGTGAAAACTGAGAATAACGATAGTTTTTAATCACTTTTTTTAATATTAAAATACAATGTGTAGATTAATATCAATATTTTATTTATTTTTGTTTTCGTGGCTATTTAGTTTTTTAATTTCTGATATTAATAGTTGTTGTTGTAAAATTGCTTTGAAGGGTTTAAAAAAAAGGAATTAGTAACTCTGATTTTTTTTATATATTTATTAATAAACTACCTACCTAATGAAACCAATACATCTGGGCCACACAATCCATTATAATAAATTGGTTTTATACTTGGTTCACTGAGTGGAAATCTATTAAATTCTTTTCTTATTTCTTTTGTATTTTTATCATTTTCTTTTTTATTTCTTTTCCTCTTTTTCGAATCATTTTTGGTTTCTTTATCATCATCATTGTTATTCTCATTTTCTTTATTATTTTTACTATTATTACTGTCATCATTATTGCTATCGTTATTATTGCTATCGTTATCTTTATTATCATTTATTGTATCATCATCGCCAGTATTACTATTTGTATCACCTTCATTTTCTTGATAATTTATATTTTCTTCATTATGGCTGTCACTATATTCGTCGCTACCTTCGTTATCATCATCGCTATCGCCATCTCTATCTTTTTTATTATTTAAATCTATATTTGAATAGTATTTATATTTTTTTCCTAATTTATATGATATTGATTTTTGAATTTCTTGAAGAAAATCTAAAGAGGGGTAACCTATACCTCCTATGAAATCATCATCATTTTTATCTTTTCTTTTTTTTTCTTTTTGATTATTTAATATACCCTCACTACTCCAATTATCCCATACTGTTTTATCTAAATATTTTTGAATTAAAGAGTTTTTACTATAATTATTTATCGGTGCCATTAAATATGCAAACTATTATTTAAAATTAAAAAATAAAAAAAATAAAAATAAAAATTAGTTTTTTTTTTTGAAAAAAAAAAATAAATAAAAGAAATATAAAGAAATAATATACATACATTAATAAACAAATAGAATAGTAATCCCTATATATATTAATATATATTATAATTATATATTTTTTAAATTTAAAAAAAAAAATAATTTAAAAATATTATTAAATTTATTTTTTAATTTTTTTATAAATATTTTTTTTTTTTTTTTTTTTTTTAATTTTTTTTTTCTAAAAACCGAATCACGAGTATCATTTGTTTTTCTCAAAAGCGATACAAATTTTTTATAAAAATAATTATTTAAATATAAATTATTCAAATATTTTATCTATATAAAAATTTTATCAATATAAAAACAATAAATATATAAGTTTCAAAATTAAAAATAATATATATATATATAAATAATAAAAATGGTACATATTAAAAATAAAAAACAAAGAGAAAGAGTTGAACAATCAACTTTATTTGCAGAAGCAAAAGAAAAAGAAATTCAAGATAGATTAAAATATGGTGCCCCAGTTGAAGAGAAATCAGATGATCAATTGTTTTATATGGATAAATCAGGTGGTAAAAACAAATCTCAATTCAAAGATGTTCCATTAACTAGAGCTGAAAAAATATTAGCACCAAATCCAAATGTTGAGGTACTCTCAAAAGATGTTAAACAAGATAATAAAGTATTTAATGAAATAAAAAAAGTAGAAAAGAAATTTGAAAAGATTCACGAAAATAAAAAGAAAGAAATTCTTCAAATTAAAAAAATCACCAAAGGTCAAAGAAAACAACAAAGAGAAAAAGAACACAAAAAGAAATTCGAATTATGGGGTGAAGAACCAAAACCAGCCGAACCAGTTGATCAAGAAAATGATTTCGTCTCCAAAAACCTTTTAGAAAATAGAAACCTTAAAGCAAAGAAAGTAAATCATCCAGCATTAATTAAAAAAGTTTTATCAATTGACCTTCCAGAGCCAGGTATGTCATATAATCCATCATATAACGATCATCAAGATACATTAGGTGTAGCTGTCGCAAAAGAAATTATAGCTCAAGACTATATTGATGGTATCGATAATCAATTAAACCCAGAAGTTGTAAAATATCAAGATAACGGTATTGTAGAAAATATTGAATTTGAACCAGCCACCAATGAACCAACTGATAGAATTACTAAAAAAGAAAAAAATAAGAGAATTAGAAGAGCTGAAGAAATGAAGAGACAAAAAGCAGCTCAAGAAAAGAAATTATTTAATCAACAAATTGATAAAGTTTTAGAAACCCTTGAAGAAGTTAAACAAGAAGAAGATATCCAAAAAGAAAAGAGAGAAAAAAGAGTAGAAAAGAAAAAACAAAATACTCTTCCAAGACGTTTAGGAAAATATAAGATAAATGAAATACAAGAACCAATTTTATTAACTAATCAATTACCAAAATCATTTTCATCAATTTCAAATGTATGTTTTATTATCTATTTAATTAGTTTTATTGTTACACTATTCTAACTATATTTTTATTTTCTATTTTACAGGACAATTATAACCCATTAAAAGAAAGATATCACAATTTACAAAAGAGACACGTTATTGAAGCTTCAGGTCCACAAAATAAACCAAAGAAAGCTAAACTTAAAGTTTACACATCAAATGCCTGGAACAATACCACACCAGCTTCAATTGATAATTAATATTTTCCTTTTATATTTATATACCCTTTTTTAAAAAAAAAAATAATAAAAAAAACTTTAAAATTAAAAAAAAAAAAAAAACAATTATTTTTATTTATTCGTTTAATAATAATTCTATAATCGTGTGATCAAAACCACATGATATATTTAAAACTTTTTGATTGGATGGATCTGTGTTGTTTTCGTCTATATCGATTAGTTCTAAAGGTGTTAATTGGTCACCTACACTTTTACCATTACCCAATTTACCTTTATTTCCATTTCCCCAAATGTAGAGTTTACCAGACTCGGTGATACATGCAGAGTGATTTCTACCTGCAGAGACTTTAACTACTTTCTCACCATCGAAATCAAACTCTAATTTAGTTGGCACTAAATGGTTGTCACCTTTTACTCCGCTTCCTAATTGACCATTTCCATTCCACCCTAATGTTAATAATTTACCATCATTGTCGATTATTAATGCATGAGAGAAACCACATGCTACCATTTTATATTCGTAGATCCGATTTGTGTTAATTAAATTTGTGTGTACCAAAGGTTGAATGGATTGAATAAGTTTGGGTGCTTCAACGTTTTTAGTATCACCATGACCTAATTGGCCAAATTCCCCGCTTCCCCACGAGCAAACTCTACCATCATTAGTTATTGCTAGATTGAAATCTGAGCCAGTGAAAATATTCTTAAATTTATAATTTGTTTTTATCATTTTTGGAATGTGAATCGGCTCTTCGCTAAAACCATGACCAGTTTGGGAATCTTGGGTAAATCCCCATGTAAATATATCACCATCACTTGTTAGTACTAAAGAGTGACCCCATCCACATTCTAATTTAATGATATTTCCTAGTTTTGATAAAGATTCTATTTCAACAGGAAGTGGTTGATTTTCGGTACTACCCACACCTAGTTGATACTCTGAACCTACACCAAACGAAAATACCCTAAAGTCTTCAGTTAAAACCAATGTATGTCTTCTACCACCAGCAACTTGTTTAATTTTAAAATCCTTTAATGGTGTAACCAATGAGGGTATAATAGATTTGAAGTTGGTCTCTTTATTTACTCTATCCATCGCAACAAAAGAAGTCCATCCACAGCTATATAACTGATCTTTTTCTTTTGATACTAACATGGTATGATAATGGCCACACACTATATCTTTACATTCTAAATTATCTTGATATCTCTGACTTGCTCCATTATTTTCGCCATTATCAAATTTGGTTAATTTTGTAGGAAATGATTCGAATTTAACCAATTCATTATCGATCCCTAATTTACCATCAATACCACATCCACATGAATAAAGATATTTATTTGTTGTATAGTTTCTTTTATTAATATTTAAAAATTGTATTATATTTTGTTTACTTATTATTGGCTTTATTGATATTGTTTGTACTATTGGTTTAATTAAAAAACCATTTTGTGATAAATATTTAAATGATTTCATTGTTTCAACAATTTAATTTAAAAAAATGAAAAAAAAAAAAAAAATAAAATTTTTTTATTTTTTTTAATTTATTTTTTTTTATTATAAAATACTTGTTTTTTGTCATTTATAGAATATGTTTATTTCACAATTACACATATAATATTTACTCTTATTTTTAAAAAATTTAAAAATAAAAATTCGAAATTAGATTTGTTATGGTTTCATAGTGAGGTGGTACTTTTTTTCAAAGATTAGTTTTGCGTTATAACCTCTCAACTAATCAAATAATTTTTTATAAAATAATATAAATACTATTTACAATAATTATTAAAAAAGAATTTTTCAAATAATATTGTTTATTAACAACAATTTTTTTTTTAATTTTTTTTTTAAAAATCTTTTTTTTTTTTTATTTTTTTTTAAATTTTATTTAAATAAATTAAATTTTTTTAATAAAAACAAAAAATAAAAAAAAATAAAAAATTTCATTTACACCAATTTTTTTAAATAATATTTATTTTTATTTTTATTTTTATTTATATCAATTCTAAAAATAAAATGTCAAATGAAATATTACAAACCGGTTTAACATTGGTAAAATCAGCAGTTGATGCAGATAATCAAAAAAACTATTCATTAGCAAGTAATTTATATGACCAAGCAATTTTAAATTTAAAATTAGCATTAGTTTCAGAAAAAGATCCACAAAAGAATGCATTAATTACATCGAAAATTGAAGAATACTCACAAAGAAATAAATTTATAAAAAATATATTATCACAACACCAACCACAACAACCATCACAGCCACAACAACCATCCCCATCCTTTAATTTTCCATCTGTACCAGGCACAGTTTCACCATCAATTAATAATATAAATAATATGAATAGTTATAACAACAATAATAGTATAGGCAACTTTCCATCATTCCCACAACCACAACAACCAATTAATACCAGTGGCAATATTAATAATGGTGTAACATCAGAACAATTATCAAAATTAAATTCATTATCCATTGGTAATGGTCCAAATAGTCAAAGACAACTTTCAAGAGTAGAAGCATATGAAGCTGCAAAGAATTTTTCATTTAAAGGTCGTAAAGAAGAGGAGGTTAAAAACTATAGAGGTGCAACCCAATTCTATGAACAAGCATGCTCCTATTATTTAATGGCAATTAAAAGTGAATCGGACCCAACCATCAAACAGAGTTTAAGCCATGAAGCCAAAATTTATTTAGACAGAGTAGAGGTTCTAAAACCATTTGTACAAGCCCAACCACCATCTCCAACAGGTTCACTTAATGGCACTTTGAGTGGTTCATCAACTTCAGCATTTTCACAACCTCAACAACAACAACAACAACAACAACAACAACAACAACAACAACAACAACAATTATCATCATCCTCTATTTTAGCACAATCATCGCAACTATCACTACAATCAAACTTTCCATCATTCAATGGCAGTTATATTGAACCAAACAGTAACATGCCAACCACCCAACAACAATTTTTAATGAAACATCAATTTAATCAATCTAGTAATAGTTTTAGCAATGCAAGTTCATCATTACCCAACACTTTCAGTGGAGATAAATGCGCAGCATGTAATTCAATTTTATCCACCAACTCAATTAAAGCATTGGACAGAATGTGGCATGCAGAGTGTTTCCAAGTATCTATAATTTGTGCGGGTTGCCAAAAACCTTTCGCCCTTTCTAACCTCTCATTAAAAGTAAAAGATAATAGGGCATTCCATCCAATGTGTTTTGAGTCTACAACTGGCCTTTATCAAGAAGAAAACCGTACATTTGTTGGCACAAGTAAATCATTGTTCTTTTCAATTCAATTACAAAGAAAATTCTATAAAGCAGGTGAAACCATTCAATTTGGTTTTGTAATTGATAATGGTTCTACTAAAAAGGTGGATAAGGTTGTTGCTTATCTTTTAATGACAGAAAATAGAATGGAAATCACTGGTACAGCTTACGAAAGAAAATCAAAAAAAACAGTAAAGAAACTAGGTAGATGCGAATTTATGAATTCAAATCGTTTCCCACTAGTTAAAGATCGTTTTGAAGGCGATTTCTTCTATTCAATACCACCCAACATTCAACCATCAGAAGTCACAGGTGTCGATGCTTCCTTTGTTAGAGAATATCAATTGGTTGTTAAATGTGTTGGAGCAACTTTAAAAACCATGACTGTAAAATTAAGATTTAATTTAACAATTTTAGATAAATAATAAAAATAATAAAATTTAAATTTAATCGAATCTAAAAAAGATATTTATAGAAACTATATTTTTTCAAATCAATCTTCATATTTTCATTTCGCACCATCTGTGGGATTATTTAATTTTAACCCTAAATTCTAAAAATACCTATTTAATTATACATTTTTTTTTTATTTATTTTATAACTTAAATTTAATTTAAATTTAAATTTTATTAACTATTTTTTTTATAATTATTATTGTTTTTTTTTTTTTAAATAAATATTTTATTTGGCTATATTATATATTATTATTATTATTACTATTAATTATTTAATAATGGTGTAGTTTCATTTGATTGTTTATTATTATCATTGTTATCACTATTATTATTTTCATCAATAATTAATTCTGGACCTTTTGATTTTGGTAAAATCCAAGCTAAAAATACACCTAAAATAGTAAAGAGACCACCGTAAGCCATAGCCCAGGCAGTATCTTGATTCTTTGCGGCTAAAACTCTACCTGAAGTTAAAATTGAAATAGTTTGGGAGACTACAGCAGAAGAATTTAATACACCCATATAGAGACCAATATCTTTTGATGGAATAACTTTAACCATCATAGCGAATGGAACAGCATTAAAAGTACAGAAATTAATACCAACCAAAGCAGTTAAAGCAATTGCTAAACCTGGTGAAGCATGGTCGAATACTAAGAATAAAATTAAACATGCACCAGCGATGGCTTGACTGACACTGTAAACAAGTTTTTCACCAACAAGATTGATGAGTCCTGAAAGGAAGAAAGAGAAGAGGAATGAAACTGCTGAAAGGGCTGCTTGGGCATAGAAACCAAACTCTAAACCTTTATTTGCATTTTCTGGGAAAACATTCTTTTGGAAGTATGTGGTATTATTAACCATAAATGGTGAATAACCAAACCATGAAATGAAAAATACAAGTGAAATAATTGCCAATTCTTTTGGAATAGTTCTGAATGCAAAACCAATCTTTTTAAATACATCAATTGGTGATTTTGGTGATTGTACACTACTATCTAATTGTTTTTCTTTTGCAACAAAAATAGTTGGAATAACTGAACAAGCAACAAAACCTGCACCAATAACTAAAATAATTTAGAAAAAAAAAATTATATTAATAAATTTATATCATTAATTACTCATTGTGTTTTTATTACTTACTGAAAAGATCTCTATATGAATTTTCATTTGATGCAAAGAATGAACCAATAATATTTGCAATAATACTAGCAAAACCCATAACATTAACAGCCATTGAATTACCAAGATGTTGTTTATCCATTGGACAAAGATCTGAAACTAATGATCTAGTTGGACCTTGCATAACATTAACTGAAAGATTCATAATCCAAAAACCTGCAATTGCAATAATTAAACCAATTTTATGATCTGATGTAAGTTCACTACTTTCTTTATCACCTAATGCTTGACCAATTAATGGTGAAAATGCAATTAAAATTAAACCAGCAACTAAAATAAAAATAAAATAAAAATAAAAAATTTTTAATATTTGATTTGAAAGAATTATAATTTTTGATCAATATACTTACTACAAAAGATTGAACCAAAAACAATAAATGGCTTTCTTCTACCAAATTTACTTTTACATGTATCAGAGTATACACCAATAATTGGTTGTACTAAGAAACCTGAAATTGGACCAGCTGTAGATTGAATGATTGATGTAGTTGATGGTGTTAATTTAAATTTATTAATAAAAAGAGGTGTACCTAAAGCAAATTGAATTGAATCTAAATTTTATTATAATTTGTTAGTTTACATTTTAATTTTAATTTTAATTATACAATCGTAAAATAATAATATTGTTATTAAAAAAAAAAAAAAAAGATATTTTTTTTTTTAAAAAAAAAACCTCTTGGTTTCGAAATTATTATTATGATTACCATGATTGCTATGATTACTACTTACAAACAAATTGTACACCTGCTAATGAGAAACAAATTGCGAATAACCAAAACATAAACTTTATTAAACCACCAGTTGAATCAGTTTTATAAATATCACCCTGATGGTCATTTTTATTATCTTGATAGTCTTGAATCTTTACATCATTGATTGACTCATTCTCGTTAAGTTTATCATATTTATCTTCACCCATTTTTCTTTTTTTCTATACTGATTATTTAATTTAGAAATAATTATAAAAACTAAAAACTAAAAAAAAATAAACGACTTTATATTTGTATAGTATATAGTAAAAAAAAAAAATAAAAATTAAAAAATAAAAAAAAAAATATTAAAAAAAAAAATTAAACTGGGGTTTTTTTTTTTTTTTAATTACTTTTTTTTATTTTTTTTCTTCATACAAAAACCCAATCGATATTGTGTCTCCGTCTTTTTGTAATTCCTATGACAAGCATCAAAATCAAAAAAAAAATAAAAAATAAAATAAAATAAAATAAAATTTTTTTAAAACCTTTCACCAAAAAAATAAAAAATAAAAAATAAAAATAAAAAATAAAAAATAAAAAAATAAAAATATTTGTGTTTATATATGGTTTTTTTAAATCATATTTTATATACTTTTATTTAACATTTATATTTACAATTATTTTTACCTTTTTTTTCTTTGTATCGGTTGTATTTTTTTTTTTTTTTTTTTTTTAATGGTTTTTTTTTTTTTTTTTTTTTTTTTTTGATTATACGATATGTTTAATTATATTAGACTTCTACCCTTTGGGCTTTTGGTGGGGAATTGTGTTTTAACATTCTTCTTAGATTTCTTGCTCTTGCGTACTATATTAAAAATATAAATTAATATTAATATTTTGTGTATAATTAAAATATTGCATATTTTTTATATAATAAATAAATTTACCTCTCTGAGTTGATCCAAAGTGACAACAAATTTATCATCATTTCCATTAATTTTCAAAATGTAATAAAGAGCACTTAAACGTGGGTTTACTTGGGGTCTCTTTTTAAAGTGGCTTTCTAATTCTAAAAAATCTACACTTCTATTTCCCCTGTTGTAATGTCCTTCAACAAATTCTAATATCTCTTGATTTAAATAACCAATTTTTCCATGTATTTGATTAAATAGAATTTGAAAAATTTCATCAAAAGTCATTTCTTTATTTGTATCACCATTAAATAAAATCATTGCCTCTTCTTTTGGGTGTACACATCCTGAATCTTTAAAAAACTCTACAGCACCTTTAAATGAAATTCTTTGATCACAATCTCTGTCATAGGTTGATAATAACCTTATTTTATTTATTTATTTATAGAAAATAAAAAATAATTATACAAATAAATTATTTAATTAGTTTTAAAAATAATTTTAATTAAATAAAAATTTAAATTTTATTTTTACCTATAGGTATCATTTTGAATAATTTTTTTAACCTCATTTGATGATGAAACACTTCTCATTTTTTTTTTTTTTTTTTTAATATTATGATTATTTTATTTAATTATTGATTGTATATTTATTTTTATAATTTGGTTTATTTGGTTTGTTAAAAATTAATAAAATTTTATTTTTCTTTAAATATTTATTGAAATAATTTTTTCTTTTTTTTTTTTAAATATTTAAAATTAAAATAAAAAAATAAAAATATTTTTTTACTAAAATGGTAAAAGTTAATTTTTTTAAATCTTTTTTTAAAAAAATAAATTTCTAAAAAACTATTTTTTGTCTATTTTTAAAATATTTGTTTAATAGAAAAATAAACAAAATTTTAACGGGAGTTGTGAAAAAATTATACCTATTTTTTTTGTAAAAAAAGGATAGTTTAAATTGGTATTATCATAGTAATATGTATATTTAAACAAATAGCTATTATTTAATAATAATATTACATAATATTATACAATATAAGGCTTTTAAATGATAGCTTTTATAAAATGGGGTTTTATTTATTTACAGGATAAAAGGGAAGGAATATTGTTTTTGTTATAAATTATGAAAATATTTTACTTCTTTCAAGTTCATAGTCTTTTTCTAATTGTTTAAGTTGTTTTTCTTTGTCATCTAAACCCAGTCTTAATTTCATAATTTCATTTTCGATAGTATCATTTTCTTGAATAATTAATTCTTTTGCACTAGCTTCTTTCATTTGAATAAAGATATCACCTGTATATATCCATAGTTTACCATTCTTATTGGATGTTCCATTTTTATTTGTAGTTATATTATCTAAAGCTTCGAAATTTAAATTGTTTCTTTGATCTAAATCTATAATCTAAATTGTTTTATTAATTATGCATTCTCTTTTTTATTATTTATTATTTATTATTATGCCTTTTAACATACTTTTCTTTTATCTATAATAATATCCTCTTTAATTTCTTCTTTTCTTAAGTATATTTCTTCTAATCTATTATCATCACCTTTATTTTGTTGTTGTTGTTGTTGTTGTTGTTTTTGTTGCTGTGGTTGCTGTGGTTGTTGAGATACTTTTTTCATTTTTCGTCTTTATGTGATTTGGGGAAATAAAAATATAAATAAAAAAATTAAAAAAAAAAAAATTAAAAAAAAAAATAAAAGGAATCAAATCGTTCTGTTTATAGTTTTATTTATAATTGTGGGTTTTTATTTTAAAATAGTTGTAGGTTTGATATTTTTAGGTTCTGAATGTCCAATGTTCTTGTTCACCATTTTCTAAATAGTCAGATCTACCAGTATATTCGCAATTCCATTTATTTTGGTCCTTATCTAAATAGTCAGATCTACCAGTATATTCGCAATTCCATTTATTTTGGTCCTTATCAAAATTAAATTTACTTAAAGTACAAACACCAGTTCTGATTGGGTACTGATCATCCTTTAAAATACCTCTACCTAAAGCAATCATTGTGGCAGCATGTGATACAATAATGAATGGTTCATTTTTAAATTTCTCCATAAGTTTTTCAACTGCTATTCTTGATCTATTATGTAATTCTTCCATTGTTTCTTTTTTTGGGATATCTTTAGTTGTTGGTTGATAGCTTAAATCTACTCTTGGGTAGGTTTTTTTTAATTCCTCTGAAAATTAATAATTAAATTATAATTATAAAAATTAATAATTAAATAATAATTAATTAATTATGATTAAAACAGTAATAATAAATAGTTATTTACCATTTGAAAGTGGATTTAAAATATCTACTTGTCGTGGGTTTGGACCTACCCACTCAATGACCCCATAATCAACTTTAATTGGAATATCTAACTGATCAGCAATTTGAGTGCTGGTTTGAAGACATCTTTCCATTGGTGAAGAGATAACATGTTTAATATCTAATTTTTTACAAAATAAACCTAATTCTTTAGCGACTTGTAAACCAGCTGCACTTAATGGTGAATCAGATGGTCTTGCAGCTGTAAGTTTCCATGCTTTATTGATCCAATCTTCTCTTAAACCGTGTCTAGTAATATAGATTGACATTATTTCTGTTATTTTATTATTATATTATTATATTGCTTAATTATTTAATGGGAGGTAAATTAAATAAATGGAGAAAAAAAAAATTAAAAAAATAATAAAAAAAAAAATTAAATTAATTTAAAAAAATGAAAATAAATTTTTTTAATTTTTTCTATTTTTTTTTTAAAAATTTTCACTTTTTCATAAATTTGTAATTATCAGTTCTCTCTCTTTTTTATTATTATAATTCAGTCCAAATTAAAATAATTTTAAAAAAAGGATATGAACTCCATTACACATAATAAAAGTGACCAAATTAAAATTTTAATTTCTAATTTAATTGGTATATCAAATTGGGATTCATTATCGATTCAGCATGATGGCATTGACCATGGATTAGATATTAATTTATTAAAGGTTATCAATGATATAATATACCAAGACCAAATCAACACCACCTTTATCAGCACAACAGAATGCGACGACAACTCTTCAGACCAATGCGACACTAATAGCAATGTAGTTCATATGATATCTAAAGAAATCGATTCGGAGTATAGTTCCCAAGCATCATCTTCCAAATCAAAAAATAAAAGAGCAACTTTTTCATCCAAATCATCATCTTCATCATCATCAACATCATCAAAATCAGCAGTATTTGACAATATACATAAACAATTACATTCACTCAAAAGGAAATCAAAGAAGCAAATTGAACAATTAGAATCATTAAAAGCCATATTCCAAACCAGATTAAATAGCAACAACATAAACACAAATAGCACCAATGAATATAACCCAAGTATCACTTTTAACCTTGGTAAAGAATTTGTTATTTCAAATTTATTTTTGGACCAAATTATTCTATTATTAGACTTTTTACATTCGATTGCACTGGAAATTGAAAACTCGTTGGGATACTGGGAGGCCAAAGACTCGATCTACTATTCATTAGAAAAGACTCCATTGTTCTGGTTAAAATACTATCATCAAGAATTAAACAAAAAAATTCAATTTTCAAATAAGTTCAACGAGATTCATAATATAACAGCTTCAGCATCACTCGTTTATGTTTCAAAAGCATTAAATAAATTCAATAATATATTTAAAAGATCTTCAAAAAAATCACTAAAATCACTAGAATCAGTGAATGAAATGTTAAAAGAAAAAAAATTAGATCAAGATAATTATAATTTAATTTTTAATTTAAAATTCCCAATTAATGAAGATCAAAATGAAAATAATAATAATAACAATAACAATAATAATAATAATAATAATAATAATAATAATAATAATAAATATCAAGCAGAATTAAAGCATCCAAAGGTAGAATTACAAGAAAGAATTAAAAGATTAAAATCCTATCAAACTATTATATCAGTATTAATTGGTAGATTAACTTATTTATTAGATACATTTAAATCAATCAATTCATTAGAACAATTTAATGAATTAATGTCAAAATCAAATATCATTATATTTGATTGTTTGTTAATTTTATCAAAATCATTTTATAATAAATTAAAAATCAAAAAACAATTACTTCAATCAAAGCAATTCATCGATATATTGGTACAACAAAAAGATCAAGAGGAAAACCATCAAATTAATAACTTTAATATTATTGTATCAAATCATATGGTGCTAAATAACCTCATATACTCGATTGAAAAGATAGTGTCTAAAGATGGTATTCCAAACTTCCTCAGTAGAAACTGGCTCAAGATCACCCTATCCTCAATGGTAACCTTCATAATGATCAAGTATTCATATGACAATTTTGACTCTTTTGTTGCCAGTGCCAAAGATACAAGAGATGCATTAATTAGATTCTACAACGAGCATTTAGAAGAACCACTATGGAACATCTGGAGTGTAATTAGATACGATAAAAAGACCTTACAATTAACAGATCCAGTATCTCTTCAATCCTCCATCGACTCATTGGGTAGAATGGTATTGGAGTTTAATTCTGACAAAGGTTTGAAGCTATCAGATTTGGACAAAGCTCAACTTTTAGATTTAGCAAGTCGTGGTGATATTTCCTCTATCATGAAATCATACGAAGATAATATTCGATCACCACTTGCAAATATTGTATTTGGTGATTTGGTTCGTTTAATTTTAATCCAAGTTCAAAAAGAAAAAGTTGATGTTGACAAAGCTTTGATTGCCATTGACAAATTGCTCCAATCCAATGAATTAAACTTCCAATTGCTTGCCGCCATTCCATCAGTTATATTTGTAGCATTCATCATTTGGCAAATTAAAAAACTTTTTACAAACACCAAAACCACATTACCATACTCCCAAAAAGTTATCTTTACCACACTCAGAAAGATAAATCGTACCCTTATCATCAATAATGGCGAACAGCAAAACTTACCTCCTTTTATATCACCATTATTATTAACTACCCAACCCTCATTATTCAACTTTTCAAAAATTAATAACTATAACAGTCAGATTTTATTATCGTCAAGTAACAATAGTATTCATAACCACCCACAAGACGAGCACAATCTTTCATCTTTAATCAAATCTCAATTTAAACCATTCGAAAAATATGGAACTATTTTAATCTCAACCAATAAATTAAGAATCCATCAAAAATCAGTAAGAGAAACTAATGAAAGTCAATGGTTTAACGAAGATATCAATGATTTAGAATCTGATCATTTATCAAACCAAGATAAAATACAAACCATAAATAGAATGTTTATGACCTATTCATTTTTAAAAAAAATAAAATAATAAAATAATATTTTATAAAACACTAACGAAAATAATCCAACTATTATTTCCGTTTAAATAAAAAAAAAAATTTTGATTGTGTTTTATTCCAAAAAAAAAAAAAAAAAAAAAAAAAAAAAAAAAAAAAAAAAAAAAAAAAAAAAAAATATTTAAAATCACCCACACAATCAGAATTTTTTGATATATCTTTTTTTCGAGTAATTCAACAACAAATATCCAAAAATTTTTTTTTATCTAGATTGTGGTTTTAGCTGTTAGAAAAAAAAGGCAGAAAATAAAAAAAAAAAAAAGATATTTTTTTTTTCATTGATAAAAATATTATTATTTTTAATTTTTTTTTTTTTTAAAAAAAAAGAAAAAAAAAAATTTAACGACAGTTTATTTATTTTTTTATTTTTGTTCTATTAAAAAATTGTAATAAATAAAATACATGTATAAAATAAGCAAATAGTAAACAGTAGAAATAATATTAAAATAAACAATTTGTGTTTTTTTTCTTTTTTTTTTTTTTTCCAATAATATATATATTATTAAAATATAATATTATTTAATAAATTATAAAATTTTTTTCTTTTTTTTTATAAAAAATTTTAGTAATTTTTTTTTTTTTTGTAATATATTAAAAAGGGAAGGAGAATGGAGAGAGTCAAACAACTGAAACCAGCTGTTGGTAATAGAGGCAGATCTGCATCCATCGATATGATAGTAATGGATGAGGTTGTTAAAAACGGACCATTAAATTATTGGAATACAAATAGTTCATATACAAGCAATAACGATGAAACTAGTTCTAATATTTCAGGTTCAAATAGTAATCAAAATTTAAATAGTGTATTATCTAATAATAATAATAATAATAATAATAGTCAATCTAGTATTAATACATCAGGTAATAATATTATAAATAGTAGCAATAATAATTTTTCAGGAATTTTTTTAAATAATATAAATAGTAGCACCAATCCAGATTCACCTAGATATAAAACTAATATAAATAGTAATGGATCATTTAGTGGATTACCCTCACCATCCCCACCAATTTCACCAAGAGCTCAAGTTACCGCACCAAATCTATCAAATTTTATAACACAACACACACCACCACCATCTCCAAAATTAGAGCATTTAGAAAATAGACATTTAAGATTACAACATACAAGCCACCTTATTAGAAATTTAAGTTTTAGTAGTGTAAACTCAACATCATCACTTGACTTTAGGAGGTCACTTCAACAATCAACAGGAATACCGATGGAAATGAATACCAATAATAACAATAATAATATCGATAACAAAGACAGTGTAGATTTAGAAATTAATAATAGTAATAGTGGTGCTAGTGGTATAGATTCAACTAAAAGCTTTACACCAAGAAAAAAAAGAAGAAAGGAAAATAGAGCAGTTAGAAGATTTAGGAGATCATTATCATCGGTCATATCATCAAACTACTGGATTTTCATTATGATCATTTCAATTATTTTTGTACTTTTCATTGATGATATACTGGGTATAGCAGGCTCACCAAGCAGTAAAGCGTTAGATAGTTCAATTATGGGTGTTAGAATTGGTGTAATAGCGTTTTTTATAATAGATATAATATTTAATTTATTTTGTTTTAGAGACGATTATTTCCCAGGAACCATCGTTTTTTGGCTCGATCTAATAAGTTTGGCGTCAATAGTATCCGATGTTCATTATTTTAGTAACTTTTATGCAAATTTAGTTTTATCAATAACTGTAAATACAAGAATCATTAGAATATGTGGTTCATTCATTAGAATTTCTTTAATTTCAACATTATATAATAGATTTTTAAGAAAGCAAACATCACCCATTACAGAAGGCCTTGAAGTCGAAGCAAGTAAACTCGGTGATAAATTAATCCGTTTAACAACCAACAAAATAGTTTTATTAGCCTTGGCAGTATTATTCGCATCTCAGCTTCTAGTTTATGAACCAGATGCACCAGGTATATATATTAAATCAACCATTTCATCATTAGAGCACATGGCAAATACATTTGGTAAAGATTCAGCTTCGTTCAACACAATGTTCAACGACTATTTAACTGTAAATTCAAAACTTTTATATGCAAATATTATAAATGATATAGTTTATGAAAATAACAATAGAATTAGTGAATTACAAGAAAGATCAATTTTAAAATATAGTTACTTTAATTCAGAAATATGGATTGATAATTCAGTAAGCATATAATACATATCATTTATTTAAAAAAGTACGACCTTATTAATATTTTTATTTATTTTTATTATTAGTATTATATTAAATATAGCTGTATATTACATTTATGTTTAACTATATTTGTAATTTTAATTTTAATTATTATCAATTTATTAATTGTCAACGATGCACATTGGTTAGTCATTAATCCATTGGAAAATGTTTTAACAATTGTAAAATTATTATCAAAACAAAATTCAACAATGATTCAAACCAATAAACATAGTGGAGGTGGTAATAATAATACAAATTCGAATAATGTTAGAAACAGGGTAGAGTCCATTGGTAATAAGTCAGATACAGCAGATACAACAAGTAGTAGTGGTGTCGATGTGGAAGAGCCCGACGAGGCAGATTTCCTTTTAGGTGTACTTAATGATATCGATGATTCGTTACAACAGGTTCAAGAGAATCTTAAGGAAGAAGCCAATCAAAATACTATATTAAAGAAGGATATTGAAGATCTTTATGTAGAGAAATATATCCTGCAAGTTCATCTCCGTTCAGTTGTAAGAAAGATCGACTTCCCAGACCCAATCGGTAATTATTTAAAAAAGAAGCAAGTTTTATTATCAAAGCAAAATCAAGCCATCAACAGTAGTAATGAACATGCTTTCATTGATGTAGTTTTAGCATCACAAAATGATGATATTAAATATAAATCCAACGAAGACGGATCAGCAGACTTTAATATAATTCAATACGCCTCAATCGATAAATTGATTGAAAAGCTTACAACACCAGAAACACACGATTTGAAATTTGCAAATGTTTTCCTTTTGACCTACCGTAAATATTTATCGCCATTAGAACTTTTAGAGAGATTAATCATTAGATTCTGTTCAACACCAACCATGGAATTACCAGAAAAGTTATTGGGTTCGAAAGAGCAAGTAGAAAAATGGAGAAAGAATAAACAAGAGCAAATTCGTAATAGTGTTTTCAATACATTAAAACTATGGGTTGGTGTATACAATTGGGACTTTTATGATAATCCAGAGTTGTCACAATTGTTGAACAGTTTAGTAAATGAAATCATGCCCTTCTGTAAGATGGATAAACATGCAGCTTATATCGACTCGATCTACAAGAGAAAGATGAACACATTCGCTCAAGACCCACCATTCATTCCACCACCACCATTAACACCAGAGGAAATTGCAGAGCTAATGGTAATAGAAGATAAAATATTATTTACATTTGACACATCAGATTTAGCTATTCAGATCACTCTTATCGAATTTGACCTATTTAAAAATATAAAATCAAAAGAATTTTTAAATCTTTGTTGGACCAACAAGCAAGAAAAGACAAAGTTAGCACCAAATGTTATTAGATTCATTGAACATTTCAATAGCGTCAGTTTTTGGTTACAAACTCAAATTGTAAAGAGCGGTAAAGTTAAAGAACGTGTTCAAGTTGTAAAGAAAATTATTGCATTGGGTGATTCATTCATTCAATTAAACAATTTCTATGGTGCAATGGAGGTTCTATCGTCATTAGAGTCCTCAGCAGTATCACGTCTTCATAAAACCTGGGAGCAAATACCCCAATCAACTGTTCAATCACTCCATTCATTACAAAAACTACTCAGTCCAACCGACAACTTTAAAAACTATCGTGAAAAAATTTCAAAAACCACATCATCATGTATACCATACATTGGTCTCTATCTCAGTGATTTGACATTCATTCACGAGGGTAATCCAGATTATAAAGACGATCTTATCAATTTCTCAAAACAACGTGAAGTAGCCGCAACCATTAATTCTATCAAACAATTCCAAAATATTTTTTACTATTATGAACCAAATCAAGCCATTAGAAAACAATTAGAATTTAAATCACCTGGTGCCGATACAATATGGAAAATGTCATTAACATGTGAAAATAAATCAAAGAAATAACCTTTATATATATAAAATAAATATTTTTTTAATAACTTTATCAATAACTATAATAATAAAAAAATAAAAACTTGTAAAAATAATAAATATAGTAATAATATAATCACAATAATAATAATAATATACAATCAAATTAAACAATATAATATATAGTCTACTTTTTTAATTTAAATTTTTTTTTAATATATAAAAATAAATTAATCAAAAAAAAATGATCATTTTTTAATTTTAAAAAAACTTTTAACCACATATATACACCCCTAAATAAAAACACATACAAATAAGTAGTTTCTGTTTTTAAATATTTTTTAACTAAAATAATTTTTAAATCATTATATCATTTAATTTTTTTTTTTTATTTTTTAATTATTTATTTATTTTATTTTTTTTTTTTTTATAAATTATTTTTTTAAAAATTTACAAAAATTTAAAAAAAAAAATCACACATTTTTTTTTTTATATATAATTTAAATTTTAAATTTATAATATAGTATCATTTAAATTTTATACCTATATAGATAGATATATAGTTTTAATATAAGAAAAGATGACACAAGTATTGTTTTACGGATGTTTGTTTATAACATTCTCGCCCATTTTAGCATTCTTTTTTTTAGTTATTGCAAAGAATAGTCAATTGGTTATTTTAACTATTGGAGGGTATATATATTTATATTTACATCGCTAGACTATAGTCTCGATAAACAAAATGTAAATAAATATTAATAAAATATATACTTTTTTTTTTATAGGTCATTCTTTTGGTTAGTATCGATATTATTATCAGCGATTTGGTGGTATATTATACCACCAATGAGAGAACAATGGTGGTTTACAATACCATTTGCAGTAGTATTTCAAGAAGCAATTAGATATTTATTTTACAGACTATATTCATGGGGTTTTAATGATAGACCATCATTAAATCAAATTAAAGAAACACAACATCAAATGTCATTAGATCAAATGAAAAAAAGAAAACAAGTAAAAACATCCTATCAGAATGAAAACTATAACAATGATAATGACAATAATAATAATAATAATAATGATGATGATACCTTTAGTATAGATAATAAAAATGATAGTGATGAAAATGACAAGTCACCAGTACGTAATATTGAAAGTTTGAATGACAATAATAATAACAGCAATAATAATAGCGATAAATCGGAATCAAAAGAATCAGATAAGGCTGAAGTCGTTATCAATAATAGATTAGAAACATTATCAGCAAGACCCAACCACACACTTTCAGCCACCGCCATTGGTGTTGGTAACGGAACTGCTTATGGTTTTATTATGTTTGGTTCAATTCTTTGGGAATCAACTGGTCCAGGAACCATGTTCTCACCAGCATGTCCAACAGTCAATCTCTTCATGCTCTCTTCAATTATTACCCTTTGCATGACCATTTTACATGTAGTTTATAATGTTTTAGCTTTTCAAGGTTACAGATCCAGAAAATATCATTTAGTAGTTTATGTTGTAATAGTTCACTTTTTAACATCATTTTTAGTAAGTGTTTTACTTTATTTAAAAAAAAAAAAAAAAAAAAAAGAAACTTTTTATTAATTATTACCTTTCATTCATAATAGACACTTTTAAATCAACCAAGTAAAAGTTGTATTGGATCTGTTTTACCAATTTCTTTAATCACTATTTTTTCAGTTTGTTTTTGTCTCTATTCTTTACTAAAGAGTGATTCAATCACAAAAACTCATTAATTTTAAATATACCATATAAAGAAAAAAAAATCAATAAAAATCAAAACAAATATATGTAAAATTTGTACACTAAAATAAAATTTATTATGTGTTTGGGTTAACTATATATATCCAACAGGGTCTCAAAGTTTTTATTTTTTCAATTTTTTTTTTAATTAAATTTTTTTTTTATTTTTTTTTATTTTTTTAAATTATTATAAAAATCAAAAATCATTCAACATTACAACATCCATTACAACACTACACAACACCGCACCCCTTAATCCTTTTTTTTTTTTTTTCTTTTCTATTTTATTAAATAATGTTTATTATAAAAAACTAATATAATAATAATAATACATATTTTAAAAAAAAATTTATTTGTTAATTCATTTTAACTATTTAATAATTTTTTCAACATTATTTTTTAAAGTGTTTTGTATTTGTAATCAAAAGATCAATTTTTATTTTGTAATATAATTTATTGTTTATTTATTTATTTATTTATTTATTTATTTATTTATTTATTTTAATTTTGTAATTTTAAAGAAAAAAAAATGTCGGCACCTAATAGCACACATGGTAATAATGCAGTTTATAGAGAAGATGGTGTTAGATTATATGGTATGGATGCAGAAATCGAATTGAAACAAAGGGCTAAAAGAGATCCACAATTAGAAAAGGAATTGGCACAATGGATTGAAAAAGCAATTGGTGAAAAGTTAAAATACCCAAATGATTTGATTGAATCACTTCGTAGTGGTATTGTACTATGCAAATTAATTAATACTCTGTTACCTGGGACTATCAAATCAGTAAATACTAGAGATACAGCATTACATCATATGGAAAATATTGGTTTATATATTAAAGCATGTTGGAAAGTCGGTGTTGAATCTTCAGATCTATTTGTTGCCTCGGATCTTTACCTAAAGAAAGGTGTATCTGCTGTAATTCAAAACTTAGCATCCATCGCTAGATGCGCTCACAACTGTGCAGAATACAAGGGACCAACCTTTGGTTACAAACCCAATCCAAATATCCAACCCGCAAAGAAATGGGATGAAATTAAAATTGGTGGTCCAGTTTTCGTAACTGATATCGAAAATAAAGAAAATATTCAACCTCCAAATTGTACAAAATGTGGTCACGAAAAAGTTTGTCAAGCCTGTTATCCTCCATCGTCCCAAAAAGTTAACATTATCAGTGAAAAAGAAAAAGAAAGAGAGAAGGAAAAAGAGAAAGAGTTTTTACAAAAAATTCAAAATTTATCAAATGTTTTAAAAGAAAAGGTAAATATCATCATTTTAGCCTCTATTTTTTTATACCAACGTTTAAATACTAACAAAAAACTTTCCTATTATATTACAGGAAGATCATATTAAATCTTTAATAGATAATTTGGATAAACAAAAAAAGAAACAAGTCGATGATGAAAAAGAATTAAAAGAATTAATCGAAACTCAAAAAACTCAAATTCAATCAAAAGAAAACATTATTCAATCATTAAACAAAACAAATTCAAATTTAGTTTTATTAGCATCAAACAATAGCAGCAATAATACTGTAACAACTCCACCATCCTCTACCATTAAGTCAAACTCTTATGTCACTCCACCAACCACTACCAGCACCACAAGCACCTCTTTGGCCAATAATGCCAACAAAACCAATAGAAACTCTGGTGTATTTCAAGCAGTATCTACCATTAATAATAAAGTCAATACTCCATCCTCATCATCTACTCTAAATGCAACCACCACCACGAATACAATTAAATGCTCTAGATGTAACTCTACAACCAATAAACCAACCCAAAAATATTGCTCATGTGGTGAACTACTTAAAAAAGATACAGCTACCACAACAACAACAACAAATTCATTTATTTTCAATAAACCCCCAACCACCATCAACACCACCACTAGTAGCATTGCTACAAACAATACCACCACACCATCATATTTAAATAAAAACAGAAATAGTACCAACCTTACAAATAATACTGGTATAACTATCAATAATAGTAATAATAGTGAAATTGAAAAATTAAATGATAAAATTTCAACCCTTTGTTCAACAATGAAACAACAAGAGGAAACTATTTCAAGATTAAATAATCAAATTAATTCAGAAAAACAAATTTATGAAAAAGAGAAAAAACAACAAAAACAAACCATTGATAATCAACAAATATTATTAAATCAAAAAGAACAGGATTTAAAGAAAGCTTTGTCATCAAATACTTCTAGCAACACTGCAACAAACCAAAGCAACAAACCATTTTTATTAGGTGCAGAATTAAGATCAATTAATACCAATCATTCGAATGATCCATCAATTTACAGTAAACCATATGGTAGTAATATTAAAGTTGATAATGCATCCAATATTACAACTACTTTACCATCAAACTCAACTATCATTGGAAATAAAGAATTAGAAACTCTTAGAGATAAACTAAAAGAATTAGAATATAGATTAAATGATGAAATTTCGAAATCCAAAGCTAAAGATTCAACAATAGCATTATTAAATGAAAAGGTTTTAAGCTTTAATAATAGACCAAAGAGAGTTTTAACAGGTGCTGTAAGCTCTGCCAAGTCAAGCCAAATTGTTGTAGGTAGAAAGAGATTCAATACATTGAAACCAGACTCTGTCGATATTACTACTTTAGTAGATGCCACCCTTTCTCATCTATCTGCTATCCTATATAACAAGCCAATCGAATTTTATCAAGTTACATCACTCAAAGATCTATTCAAGACTGAAACTGGTAGACGTAGATTCACCCAAATTTTATCATCAACTTTAAAACAAGTACCACAATTACAACTCTCTGAAACCTCTTTCGAATTCTTACTCTATTTAATTAGCTGTGCACTTCAAGAAATGAATATCAGCCAAGACCACGATTTCCAATGTGCTAGAATTATCTTCCACTCATCTGATTCACTCTATCGTGTCGGCAAAACAGGTCAATCTGAATTCCTCAAACCATTCATTACCAGCTCTCCAGTTTTCAAAGATATTAGATTTTGGTCTGATTACTTCTGGGTTCAGTTAAGTAAACGTCATAGAAAGGTATATGGTAAAATCCCAGATACTCTCGATCGTGAAATCATTATCAATCTTCTATCTTACTTTGGTGTTAATATGACTTACTTTGGTATTTCAAGTGATCAAGTTAAAGAATTTATTAACGAAATGGGTTCTCAAAATAATTTAGATAAAAAACAAATAGATTATATTATTTCAACTTTAAAAGACTCACCACTATATCAAAGTATCAATACCAATAATGATAAACAAAAAAATACTGTAGTATCATCTGCAAAAGTTTCAAAAAAAGATAAAGATGAAAAAAAGAAAAAATAAATAAATAAACAACTATGTGTGCATATTTAACTTTGCTACATATAACAATAACCTCTTTTTTTTTATTTTTTATTTTTTTTATTTTTTACAAAAAAAATAATTCGGAATATGACTTTTCATTTTTTAATTCCCTAATGCTAGATTTTTAAATGATCTTTATAATAATAAGAAGATAAAAAAAATAAAAAAGGTTAAATATAATGCTATTTAAAAAAAAAAAATTAATATATCTTTTTTGGACTTCGTAGAACCAAAAAGATATTTTTTAAAAAATATTCCACACTAAATATAATTTGAGAAAAAATAATTATGTGTTCGAATAACCACTATTCTATTTTCTTTTTTGGTGAAAAATTAAAAGTAATTTTTTTTTATTTTTTTTATTTTTTTTATTTTTTTTTTTTTTTTTTTTTTGTATAAATTTAATTTTTATTTTTTATTTTTTTTTCAATGACACCCAAATATCTTTGCTGAACTTATTTATTTTTTATTTTCATTTCGTTTAAATAAATAAATAAATATAATTATAACTTACAATAATAATAATATAATAACTATTAAAAAAAAAATATGGCCCAACCCCCAACAAACTTTTAAACTTTCATCTGGGCCCCATATTCCACAATTAGGTTTAGGTAAGTTTATTAAATTTTTTTTTTTTTTTTTTTTTTTTTTTTTTTTTTTTTAAATTATTTTTTTATTAATTTATTTTTTATAATTTATTTAGGTACATATAATGGTTCCAAATACAATGAAGTTTATGAAGCTACAAAGGTAGCTTTAAAGGCAGGTTACAAACATATTGATACTGCTGCAATTTATGGAAATGAAAAAGAGGTTGGTCTTGCTGTTAAAGAAGCTATTGCAGACGGCATTGTTAAAAGAGAGGAAGTTTTTATTACTACCAAATTATGGAATACCTGTCATGGTAATGTTAGAAAACATTTTGATCTTTCATTAAAAAATTTAGGTTTACAATATGTTGATTTATGTAAGTATTATTTATAAACTAATTTTAAAATTATTTTGCTAATAAAAAAATTTTATAAAATAAATGTAGATTTAATTCATTGGCCAATTGCCTTTGAATATACTGGTGAAAGTTTTACCACCCCAAAGAATGCTGATGGTTCTGTTAAATTAGATAAAGTTAATATTCACGACACTTGGAGAGAAATGGAAAAATTAGTTGATGAAGGTTTAGTAAAATCAATTGGTGTTTCAAATTTCAATGTTCAAAGCTTAGTCGATTTATTAACCTATGCTAGAATTCCACCAGCAGTCAACCAAGTCGAATTACACCCATATTTATCACAACCAGCTTTAAGATCATTCTGCGATCAACATAAAATTATTTTAACCGCTTATTCACCATTGGGTCAAGGTAAAATTACAGATCATTCACCAGTTATTGAAGAAATTGCAAAATCACACAATAAATCACCAGCCAATATTATCTTTAAATGGTGTATCACAAAGGGTTTTACTGTTATTCCAAAATCAGTTACCCCACAAAGAATTATTGACAACTTTGACATCTTTGACTTTGATCTTACTGATGCTCAAATCAAACAACTTGACCAATTAAATAGAAATGAAAGAACCTGTTCCCCAATGAGACAATGGGGTGTACCATTATTTGATTAATAGAAATAATTATTTTCAATAAAAAAAAAATAAAAATATAAAATTAAACTTTTTTTCACACACACCATACTTTTTTATTTATTTCTTTTTTTTTTATTAATTTTTTTTTTATTAATTTTTTTTTATTTCTTTTTTTTTTATTAGCAAATAAATATTAAAAAATAAATAAAATAAAATAAAAAAATAAAAAAATAAAAAACCTATTATAATAAATGATTTAAATTTATTAATTACACATCATACACTCAAATCGTTTTTTTTTTTTTGTTTAAAAAATCTGGCTTTTTAACTGACCATAGAAAAAAAAAAAATAATTAAAAAAAAAAAAATTCTATTTTTTCAATTTTTTTTTTTTTTTTTTTTTTTTTTTTTTTTTTTATATTTATTTTTTTTTTAAAATAATTTAATTATTTTTTCTATAGCAGATACACTAAATATTATTGTTATTGTTATTGTTATTGTTCATCCATTCTATAATTATAGTTCTTCAGCAAACTTACACCCATACAATAAAAAAGAATTATTTTTGGTTTTTTTGGAAAAATAAAATCAAAAATCAATAAAGTTTTCTATCTTTTCCCCACACAAAAAAATAAAAAAAAATATAAAAAAAATAAAAAAATTAATTCCACACACTCTGTGTTTTATTTTTTTATTTTTTTATTTTTAAATTTACCATCAAATAATCTCTTTTCTTTTTTTTTAAATATCCAATATTACAGATAAATAATTAAATAATAATAGTAGTAATAGTAATAATATAGTTTCAATTCATTTCACTTTTTTTTTTTTGTGTGTTGTAGTTTTACAAATTTTTAAATTTTTTTAAAATTAGAAAAAAATAAAAATAAATTATTTTATCATATATCAAAAATAATTTATTTGTATATTTGTATCTTTATATTAAATAATCCTCATCATCAATACCACCACCACCACCATCAAAATAAATAATAAAAAATAAATATAAATAATAAAATGTTACATACAGTTAATCAAAGACCATCCGATACATATTATAAAGATGATAGTATTGATAATGCAACCAATCTTCAAAAGATCTGGAGACCAATTTGGGTACCAGATCACCAAGAGGATTGCTGTTTAAATTGTAAATCACAATTTAATACATTATTAAGAAGACACCATTGTAGGGGCTGCGGCAACCTTTTTTGTAACAACTGTACCAGTAAAAGACAATCACTACCACAATTACATTATAATAAACCAGTTAGAATTTGTAATAGATGTTCTGACCTCACAAACTTTTCAAAACTCTCAACTTCACCAGATATAAAGAACAGAGAAGAAGCAGCAAAAGGTTTTCTAAATTTAACATGTGATTCTCTTGGCAAAAAAATGATTATTAGAGGATTTTTAAATCCTTTAGGTAATTTATTCACAAATGGTAATCCAACATTATATAAACATTTAACAAAAGCTATTTCAAATTTAGCCGAAAATGGTAAGTACAAACAAACAGCCTCTACATAAACTATACTGACAAAATATACTTTATTTATTTAGATATTGTAAGAATTGATATACTCGAAGCAAATTTTTTAACATTATTAGTAAATTATTTACTTGAAAGTTTTAAAAAGTATCCAAATTTAAAGCAACAAAACAAAAATATAAATAGTAGCAATGGTGGAAATAGTAGTAGCAGAAATAATAATAGTAATAATAATAATAATAATAATAATATTGGTAGCACTGGTGCAAGTGGTGTCAATAGTGAACATAATAATTGTAGTAATAGTAATAATAACAGTAATGGTAATGAAGAAGATTTTAATAACGATCAATTTATTATTCATGACGATGATTTTGAAAGTTTTTTAAATGTTTGTTTATGTTTTCAATATCTAAGTTGTGAAGAGAATATCCTCGTAAAGACCCAATTAGCTGATAGATGTTTACCAATTTTAATAAAGATGTCAAGATCATATAATGTTCAAATAAAGCATTCAAGTTCAATCGTTTTATTAAATTTAGTAAAAAATCCATTGTCTCGTGACTTGGTTGTTCAAGGTGGCGGCATTGGCTCATTGATTGCAATTGCTATTAACGACGATGCTAAACTTCAAGAAACCTCGGCTCATGCTCTCTCTATTCTCTCTGCTCAATCAAAATATCAAAGAAAAGTAGTCGAGTGTGGCGCCCTTCCACCATTGGTTTTAATGTTAAATTCAAACTCGTCCTCTGATAATATTTTACAATACACAACATCCTCACTTTCACTTTTAGCAGAGAATCAAGATAACCAAATTGCAATCGTACAAGTAGGTGGTATTAACCCACTCAAAAATATTCTTATTTATAAAAATGAACATACAATGCAAATTTCATACAATGCTGCTTTAACATTATACCATTTATCAACCAACAGTAAGTATTTCATTTATATATTATTAAATTGATTTTTTTAATGCTAATTTTTTTTTTTTTTATTTCAGAAAATTTAATTTTACAATTGGCTCAACACGATTTGGTCGAATTATTAACTAAAATTATTATTTCAAATTATAACAATCCATCATATGATTTATTATTGTTATGTGTTAAAATTATTGGCAATCTTTCTTTTGGTAAGAATTATAATTTGTTTACAACATTTTTTTTTATTTTTAAAAATAAATATATTAATTTTTTTTTTTTTTTTTATTTTAGAAAAAGAAATAAAAGTTTTAATCAGAAAGAATCAATCAATGATGAATATTTTAAGAATTATGGTTCATTCAACAAATAGAATTCAACAATGGGCTCAAATTATTTTTAATAATTGTGAAACTGGACAAAATTAAGTTTTTTATATACCCAAAATATTTCACATTACCAACGATAGCAACACCAACCATATCAATTTTTTAATAAACTATAATAAATTATTATTTATTTATTTCAAACTTTTATTTTTTTTACTTTTTTATTTTTTATTTTTTGGGTTAGTTTAAAAGAAATCACACTTTTTTTTTTTTTTTTTGTATTAAAAAAAAAGTAAATAGGGTTATCGTTAGTGATTATAACCATATGAAAATGAATAGCGCCATATACAAAATATAATTTTTTTTTTTTAAATTTTTTTTTAATTTTTCAAAAATTTTTTAAAAATTTTTATAATTTTTTTTTTTTTTTTTTTTAATTTACTATACAAACGAATTGGAGTGTTATATAACTTTATAATCATTAGTTATTTTTACATACTTTTTTTTTTTAAAAACCATTTTAAATCATAAATTTTTATTTGTATTAATTTTTATATAATAAATTAATTTTGGTTATATATTTACAAAAATAAAATAAAGTAGAAAATGTTTTTATTCGATATTTATAATAATATTCTCTTTTATTTAAAAGAGTTTATTGTTACAACTACCAGTCCAAATTTATTTATTCATGGTATGATGGCAGTTTTCATTATTTATCTTTTAACAAAGAGACCATTTAAACCAAGACAAAATGACAAGCTCTCCAAAGCTGAAGAAGAAGAGTTAATTCGTGAATGGACTCCAACTCCATTAACACCAAAATCAAATCCATTAGAAGTTTTAAACCAAAAAGAATTAGTTATTCAAAGCTCAACTTCAACTCATGTTACTGTCGATAACAAAGAGTTATTAAATCTTGCAAGAGCAAACTATTTAGGTTTTATTGGTAATGATGAAATTAATGTAAGCTTTATAAATTAATTACAACACAATAAAATGGTTTAAAATTTTAAATTAATAAACTTTTATTATAATTACAGAAAGTTTCAGAAAAAACTGTTAGAAAATATGGTGTTGGTTCATGTGGTCCAAGAGGTTTTTATGGTACAATCGATGTTCATTTAGAGCTTGAAAAGAGAACTGCAGAATTTATGAAAACTCCAGAAACAGTTTTATATTCATCAGCATATGCCACTATTTCATCTGCTATCCCATCATTCTCTAAAATTGGTGATATTATCATTGTCGATAGAGGTGTATCACAACCAGTACAAGTTGGTGTAACATTATCACGTAGTAGAATTTTTTATTTCAATCATAACGATATGGATGATCTCCAAAGAGTTTTAGAACAAACTCAATTCACTGGTTCAAAAGCTAAAATCGTCAGAAAATTCGTTGTCATCGAAGGTCTTTATTATAATTCAGGTACAATTGCTCCACTCCCACAAATCTTAAAATTCAAAGAACAATATAAATTTAGATTAATTATGGATGAATCTCATTCAATTGGTGTTTTGGGTTCAACTGGTAGAGGTATTACTGAACATTATGGTGTAGATGTAAGAATTAATTTACAGCTATTGTAATTTTTTTTTTAATGTCTCCTTCTTTATACTAATATTAATTTCTTATATATAGGTCAATAGCGTCGATATTTTAACAGGTTCATATGGTAATGCCTTTGGTTCAGGTGGTGGTTTCTGTTGCGGTGCTCCAGAAGTAGTATACCATCAAAGATTAAATGGTGTTGGTTATGTATTCTCTGCATCATTACCACCATTCCTTGCTACATCTGCTACTACCGCAATTACTATGTTGGATGAAGACAATTCCATCTTAGAAAGACTTCACGAGAATATTAACCACTTCTACAAAGGTCTCTCTGACTTGAAAGGTTTAGAAATTACCTCTTTACCAATTTCACCAGTCATTCATCTTTCACTCGACTCCAAATCTACTAGAAATAATAGAATCGAAGATGAAATGGTTCTTGAAAAAATTGTTAACAAAGCTATGGAAAGTGGTATCCTCCTTACCAGAGCTAAATATGTTGCTGCCGAAAAATTCATTCCAAAACCATCAATTCGTGTCTCCGTAAACTCCTTACTCTCTAAAGAACAAATTAATCAATCAATTCAAATTATTAAACAATGCACATCTTCAGTACTTTAAAAAATTTTATTAATTAAATAATAAAAATATAAATAACTGTCATTGTTTTAAATAAAATTATTTGTTTATTTTTACATATTGTTTCAAAATGTGTATTTTTTTTTTTTTACCAGGTTTAAAAAAATAGTTTTTGGTGGTGGTTAGCGGTGTGTTGGTGAAAATTTTAATTTTTTTATTTTTTTATTTTTTTTTTTCCAATTTTTTTTTATTTTTTTTTTTTGTTTGATCAGTTACACATTTTGACAGATTTGTTTTTGTTTTTTTATAATAAAAATAATTGTTATAGTTATTATTGTAGTTTAATTTTATTTTTATTTTTAAAATTTAAAATAAAGTTTCTAATAATATTATTTTTAATTTATATTTTATTTTTTCATTTTTTAAATCATTTATTAATACACCAAATATAATTTTAACACAGATAAAAATAATAAATATTTAAATAATAAAAAAGATGAAATTGAAATTAATAGTTTTTTTAGTTTTTTTTATTTATATTATAAATTGTGAAGATACAATAGAAGAAAATAAATTAATAAATTTTAAAAATGAATCATTCATAATAAATAATATTAATAATAAACCAAATTATATTTATTTTATATATAAAGTTGCAACTTATCCATTCAACTATATGGCATCGAACCAGATATTAAATGATTCAAAAACGAAGGTAAAGACTCACTTTCCTATTGAAGATATTTCTATTAAATCAGAAATTGTTACTGTAAAGTCTAAAGATACTGTAAGTATATTTTTTGTTTTTTTTAAAAAAAAAATTAAATAAATATTAATTTTTCTTTTTTATTTTTTTTTTATAGATGATTATAACATCAGTATCAAAGACTAAAGAAAAGGATTTTAAAGGATGCACTCACTATTTTGATGAGTCCAACGTTAAGGTATCAAAGTGTGATATGTGGATTAACTTGGTTGATGTTTCACAAAATAATTTATTGTACCACTATTCAATAGATTACTTTTTAGACTCAACAACAGAATACTCAGTAGTTGCAATTGGTTATGTAATGGATGAAAATAGTCAAATGATTTTAAATATTGTTAAAGCAAATCAATTTGGTACCGAAAATAATTATTATTATAATAACCATAATCAATCATACAGCTACTTTTCTACCAATATTTCTATAGATATTAAAGAAATTGACTCCTTCAAGAAAATACACGATAAACATCAACATTTATACCATTTGATAGCCAAAGATATTAGAAATAACATACATTTAATAACATTTAACATTAATGAAAACAAAATTGAAAGAATAATAGATATAGATATAAATTTAGCTTTTAGTACCATTGGGTTCTCAATATATAATGATCAACTCTTACTATCTGGTGCATTTGTGGAAAATTCAAACACATTTTATTTTTATAAATTTAATTTACAAGATATTCAAAACAATCAAATAAAATATAGCAATGACAATTTAATATTCAAGAGATACAATTCTATAAAGTACTATATAAAATCAGAAAATCATCGTTATTTTCTTTTTTATTTAAACAATGCAACCCTGGTAACATATGATATGGAGACCGGAGAAAGCGAAGATGTTCAATTGAATTTCAAAATGAAATATGCGCCACATTCAGAAATGATACAACTATATGCTTTTCATCAAGAGCTTCCAAAAACTGCTGGTTCTACAAATGGTGTTTCAAAGAGTAATAAAATATTTTTAATAGTGTTCCATCCAATTTTTATAATAGCTTTACTGTTTCTAATTATTGGTATAATCCTTTTTAAAAGAAGAAGAGATAAAAAAAATCTAGTAAAATTAGAAGCTCCATCTGATGTATAAAAAATAAAACCTTTTAATCTAATCTTTTTTTTTTTTTTATTAAATATATAATAAAAATAAGTTTAATAGTTTATTAATATATTTTATTGTGTTTTTTTATTTTTTTATATTACATTTTATTTTTTAGTGTTTAAATTGTTTGCATAAATATTATTATTTACTACATCTTTAAAAATTAACTCCATAGTTTCCATTTTTGAAGAAAGTTTAACAATTTGTATATACATTGTTATATATAGAATAAATAAAAAGAATGATACCAATAAAACAGTAACCTGGCTACCATTTAATGATAAAACGCCGATTGGTGTTTTTAATTTAACCAAACTTGATTCATTCTTTAATGATGATTTAGATGATTTTAGCTGTTGTTTTGGTGATACTGTTAATTGATCATTTGCCGAATTTGATAGGGTTTCTAAATTGTTGTGTGATTGATTTATATTTGAAATTGGTGATGACACTGGTGGTAGCGCTGGTGAATGGGTTTGTTGGTTTGAAATAATATTTGATAATAAAGAATTTGAAGATGGCGAATTATTAACCTGGCCAGATGAGGAGATTAAATGTTGTCTACTACGCGATCTTGTATGATGTGGTTTAGGTGAATCAATTCTTTCTTCATCTTTAAGACGTGAAATCTCTGTTTTATCTAAAGATTTACCTAAAGTTGGAACTGTAGTAGTGTGGGATGCTGGAGTATGTGATGGGGCAGTTGGCTTTGGTTTAATTTGAAGCATTTTTTGAACTTCTTGTTTAGCTAATTGAATCCATTTATCAAATGATGTTTTAGTTTCTTTGACAGTTGTAGTTTCAATTTTACTCTTGAACCAAGTCTTTTTAATAAATCTTACGCATAATGAAATTGAAAGTCTGCATGTTTCTGCTGAAGTTTCTATAACTTCCCATTTTGCCTCGATTCTAAAATGATCACCATATGGAATATCTAACATTATTGTATCTGTTTCGACAATTAATTTAGTTTTGGTTAAATGATATCTTTGAGTCTCTTGAATTTTAGTTTTATCTGGTCCAATTGGTGAATTTACAGGTGCAACATCTATTTATAAAAAAAAAAAATGGTCAATATAACTATTTAGGAATAATTATTAATCAAAATAACCTACATTCTATTTCTCTAATAGTTCCAAATCTATCTCTAAAGGTCCATGGTTTAACATTAACATCTTTTTAAATAAAAATAAAAAAAAATTATTAAAATATGTTTTAAATATTAACTAATAACTACAATAACTTACTAGAATCACCTCTTTTTACATGATAGTTGTGAACAAAATTACATTGATCTGAATATAAGGCTCTAAAAAAATTTACAACACTAACATTAAAATTGTCAGATAAAAGCTCTTGAAAATCTGAATGCTGGCTCTCTAAAATTGATTGTGGTTGGGTATCCTTTGAAAGATATTGATCAACACTTCCATAAATTTCATCCAATGGGCTTTTTTCAACCTCTTTAATGGTAGAGAGGGTATTACTATTACCACCATTGTTATTATTGCTATTACCATTATTAACCATTGCAGTATCACCATTTGGTTTTTGTTGTTGTGAGGTAGGTGCTACTTGTGAAGTAGTTGAAGATACTGTTGCACCATTTTGATTTTCATTTTTATTATTGTTATTTGATTTTGAATCTAAAATAATTTCGCCTTTGTTATTATTACTATTACTATTTTCATCCTGTTTTGTTTGTTGAGTTTCACTTATTATTTGTTTTGGTTGTTCAGTTTGTTGTGGTTCAGATTGCTGTGGAGGAGTGGGTGGATGACTATTTGTTTCCTCACCTCTATCAAAACCATCAATTTGTTGTGTATATATATTTTGATTTTCCACTTCATTATTTATAATTTCATCATCTATATCGTCATCTACGCTAAACGATGAAGCATCTTCATGGGTTTCACCTGTAACATCTTTCCATGCCTCCAATAAATCTTTATATGTTTTATCTCTGGATACAAATGATGCGAATGAATATTTTACATTATTATTTGTTATAATCTCTATACCAACAGTGAATCTGCTTTTCTTTTTAATTTGTTTTACATCTTTAATAGCTATAACTTCCTATAATTATTATTTATTAAAATGTTAATACTATTTAATAACCTAAATTTCAATAATTTATTTCAGAAAAAATTAAAAAAACTTACACTTGTTTTAATACCAAATATTTTAGATTCAAAACAAATATGACTATCGAAAAGGTATAATCTACCATGCAGTAAAATCTGTCTAAATAATGCTGCACTATAATCGTGAAGTAAAATTTCATTGTGTAATTTGAATTTTTTTAAATATGGTTCGCTTTTCATTCTGGCATCGATAGTCTTTAAAACGACTTCATCTGAACCTTTCTTTGCTGGAGCCACTAATTTTGGGGTTACAAATAATTTTTTATTTTTCTAAAAAAGAAACCATATTAATAATTTATTATGATTTATAATCTTTATAACTATAAATATAAATACCTTGTCATCCATTGATTTTAAATCTTCGCTACTATGACTTCTATTTTTTAATTTAGCAGCCTCTGAATCTGCTGCACTAAATGTATCGCTCTTTCTCTTATCATGAATTGGAGGCGATGGACATTCACTATGCGAACTAGGTGAAATTGAACCATTAGATGAAAATTGTTGAGGTGATTGTGGTTGGGGTGTTTCAACTGGTGATATTCCTCTTGTACCATTTACTGATGCATGTTGTGGTGATAACATAACTGATCCTGTATTACTAGGTAATGATGACATTATCCTTTAAAAAACTACTACTATTAATTACTATTACCAAAAAAAAAAAAAAGAAAAAAAAAAAAAATGATGATGATGATGATGATGATGATGATGATTTAAACTGTTTTACTTTTTTAATTTTATTTATAACTAAAAAACAAATATTATAAATAAGTAAACAAACAACAAATGTATAAATAAATAAATAATTAATTAAATAAATAAACAATTAAATAAATAAATAAATAAATAAATTAATTAAAAATAAAAAAAAACAAAGAAAAATAATAATAATAAAAAAAACAGATGATGGTTTTTTTTCTTTATTTTTAAAAAGAAATAATTATATTATTATTGTTATTATTGTGATTATTGTTATTTATTTAATTATTATTACAATTTGTGAGGTGTGGTGAAAAAAAAAAATAAAAAAAAAATTACAACATTTTTTTTTTAATATAAAAATATTATTTTTTTTATTTTTTTTTATTTTAAAAAAAAAATTAAAATAAAATAAAATTTTATTTATTGAAAAAAAAAGATAAAATAAAAAATATTATATTGGTATAAAACAAAAAAAAATCAAATGATCCTATTTCTCTTTGTTATCCAAAAATAAAAAGATAAAATTCTTTATTGCAAGGGAACAAATAGATACACACTTACATATTAAACACACACACACTTTTTAAAAAAATAAATACATAATAATTATTTTTTTTTTATTATTAAAATAGAAATTAATATACCAACCATCAATTTTTTCTTAAATCTATATAACTCATTGTCGTATAAATTTGAATCTTTATTACTAACTGTTTGGTTTTATATTATAAAATAATATATCAAAAAATTCCATCAATTTTTGTTATTTGTTTTTTATTATCTCTCTAAAATTTAAACCATTTATTCTTGATTTTTTAATACTTTCCAAAATTATAATAATAATAATAATAATATAAAAATAAAATAATAAATTATTTAGAAAAAAAAAAAAAAATTACAGTATATGAAAAAAAAAATGATACTTTTTTTTAATTTAAAATTTTATTAATTTAATTATTTTAAAAGATTGTTTAATCTACTTCTTCCATGACAGAGTTTTTGTTATCTTCTTCAAGATCTGGGAGATCATCGCCGGTGGTGGTGGTTTCTTCAGCGGTTGAAGTTGAAGCACTTGAATCATCTTGAATACTTAAACCAAGTTTGATCATACGGTGGATACGTGAAGCAAATGATGATGGTTCATCTAATGAGAAACCAGAGGTAAGGAGAGCGGTTTCATATAATAAAAAGACGTAATCTTTGAAGGTTTTAGCTTTTTCGTTGGCTTTCTTTCTAAGTTCTTGGACGATTGGATGATCTGGGTTTAATTCAAAGGTCTTTTTGCTTGACATATAAGTTGACATAGAGTTATCACGAAGGGCTTGAGCTTTCATGATACGTTCCATGTTGGCTGACCAACCGTATTCAGAGGTAACTAAAACGCATGGTGAGTTAGCAAGACGGTTTGAAAGAACGACTTTTTCGATTTTGTCACCGAGAACTTCTTTAACTTGTTTGAGGAGGTTTTCGTTGGCAGCTTTGTCTTCTTCAGCTTTTTTCTTTTCGTCTTCGGTTTCATCGAGTTTGAGACCTTCTTTGGTGATTGAAACTAATTTCTTACCGTCATATTCTTTAAGTTGTTGAACAGCATATTCATCGATTGGGTCAACCATGTAGATGACTTCGAGGTTTTTCTTTTTGAGACCTTCGATGAATGGTGAGTTTTCAACGGCTTTCTTTGATTCACCAGTAATGTAGTAGATTTCATTTTGACCTTCTTTCATACGTGAGACGTATTCTTTGAGGGTGGTCATTTCATCACCAGTCTTTGAGGTTTGATAACGGAGGAGATCGGCAATCTTTTCTCTGTTTTGGCTGTCTTCGTGGATACCTAATTTGAGGTTCTTTGAGAATGAGTCGTAGAATTTCTTGTAGTCTTCAGTGTTTTCTGAGATTTCGTTGAAGAGTTCTAAGCATTTCTTGACTAAATTCTTACGAATGACAGTAAGGATTTTGTTTTGTTGGAGGGTTTCACGAGAAATGTTGAGTGGTAAATCTTCTGAATCGACAATACCTCTGACAAAGTTAAGGTATTCTGGGATAATTTCTTGACAGTTGTCCATAATGAAGACACGTTTAACGTAGAGTTTGATGTTGTTGTGTTTTTTCTTTGATTCGAATAAATCGAATGGAGCTCTCTTTGGAACAAAGAGGATGGCTTTGAATTCAAGTTGACCTTCAACAGAGAAGTGTTTGACGGCTAATGGTTCTTCCCAATCATTTGAAATTGATTTGTAGAAACTGTTGTATTCTTCTTTGTTAACATCAGATGGGTTACGAGTCCAGAGTGGTTTGGTCTTGTTGAGAACATCCCATTCTTTTTCTTGAACTTTCTTTTTGGTTTTTTCTTTTTCTTCTTCGATTTCTTCGATTTTAGCATCAGTTGATTCTTCTTCAGTTTTTTCTTCTTTTTCTTCTTCAACTTCTTTTTCTTTGATGGTTAAAAGACTGATTGGGTATTGAATGAATTCAGAGTGTTTTTTGACGAGGTCTTTGATTTTCTTTTCTTCTAAGTAATCTAATTGATCTTCTTTCATGTGGAGGATGATTTTAGTACCACGACCTAATGGTTCGGTGTGATCGAGAGCAATAGTGAATTCACCACCAGCACTTGATTCCCAAACATATTGTTCATCATCATTGTTCTTTGAGTGAACAATAACAGTATCAGCAACGAGGTAAGCAGAGTAGAAACCAACACCAAATTGACCAATCATAGAGATATCAGCAGCACCTGATTGTAATTGTTCCATGAAATTTTTGGTACCTGAACGGGCAATAGTACCAAGATTCTTGACCATATCGGCTTTAGTCATACCAATACCACTATCAATAATGGTTAAGGTTTTGTTTTCTTTATCTGGGATGATTTTAATTTCAAGTTCTTTCTTTGAGTCTAAGACAGAGTTATCAGTTAATGATTGGTAACGGATTTTATCTAAGGCATCAGAGGCATTTGAAATCAATTCTCTTAAAAATACTTCCTTGTTTGAATAGAAAGTATTAATGATGAGAGACATGAGCTGATTAATTTCAGCTTGGAATGTGAATCTTTCAACTTCGTTTGACATTTTGTATTTTATATATAAATTCTTTTTTTCAATAAAAAAAAATAATTAATTATCTAATTAAAAAATCTAAAGAATAAAAAATGTTAATATATATATTTTTTAAATTATTTTAAATTAAAATTTTATATCCGAAATAAAAAAATTAAAACAAAAACAAATATATAAATACCTTAAATATATATAATGAACAAGTTAAAAAAAAAAAAAAAAAAAAAAAAAATTTTGATTTTCAAATTTTGAAAAAAAAAATTAAAAAAAAAAAATTTTAAAAATAAAAAAAATTTAGAAAAAAGGAAAAAAAAAAAAAAAATTTTAAAAATAAAAAAAATTTAGAAAAAAGGAAAAAAAAAAAAAAAAACAAACTTCGGAAAATGGGCAATATAACAATAAATACTTTAGATATAAGAGCTATTATTTTAGTTTTGTTATTTGGTGATTGTGTGGAAAAGAAAATTGAATTTAATATATTTTTATAAAAATAAAAAAAAATACAATTTTTTTTTAATTTTTTTTTTAAATTTTAATCTGAAAAACCAAATGTGGAAACATATACTGATAATACAAATAAACCAAAAAAAAAAAAAAGAATGCAAGTAATAAACAAATATGATAAAAACCTTGTGTAAAAGGTTCTGTGATGTTACCAAAAGAAGGAGTTTTAGAAAAAAAAAATAATATAATAAAATAAATATAAATAACTTACATGTACAAGTGAGAATTAATTATAAGTTAATTGAATAACAATTATTTAACAATCCAAAAAAAAAATTCTATTAAATACTTTTTTTTTTATGTTGTTTTTTTTTTTTATTTATTTTTTTTAAAATTTTAAAACTTTATTTTTGAGTTAAAAACCAATGAAAATTAGGTGAAATTGTTTAGAAATTTAATTATAATTTTTTAAGTTTTTTTGAAGTATTTTTTTGATATGTTGGGGAAAAAAATATTAATAAAAAAAAAAAAAAATTAAAAGTTAACAAGATTCAACTTATTAATAAAAAATATGATATAAAAATATAAAAATAATAAAAAATAATTTTGACTAAATTTATCTTAATGCTATTATTAATATGGTTTTTATTAATTTAACTACCCACTTAAACCTTTAAATAGAAATTATTTTTTTCTTGTGAATGTTATTGCGGATGTAATAATATCTTTTTAAAGATATAATTTTAAATTTATTGTATATATTTTAATATTACCAAATAACTATATAGCTAGTAAATTTTAATAATGTTAGTTTTGTTTTAAGCAACCTTTTACTAAATGTTCCATCATTCCAAGATTAGTTTAGTTTTGACATTACCTTTTATTTATAGCATAAAATTATTCAAATAATATTAAATTATTTTTTTTGAATTTTTTTTTTTTATAAATTTTTTTAATTTTTTTAATTTTTTTAAATTTTTTTTTCATTAATTTAAAAAACGACACTCAAATAATGATTGAAGATATTAATAAAAATGGCAATGATAATACCAGCACCAATAACGAAATTATAGATCAAATCAAAATAAATGAAAATATATTTTCAAACTTTAAATATCTAACAACCACAGAGTTTGAAAACAGTAAAAAAGAAATTCAACAATTGGACGAGGAACACAACTTAATTTTTAATCAATATTTGTAAGTATGAATAACATTTGGGTTAAATGGGTTAATTAAACAGTGACATAGGAAATAGATTAATCAAAATATACATAATCTAATCATTTTATTAAACAAAATTTTAGACCAAAAGAATATAAAGAGTCACCATGTATTAATAAAGAAAAAAAATTAATAGAATGTTTAATATCTAAAAATAAAGATTTTATATTATGTTCTGATATATTAAATGAATTCGCGAAATGTCAAGAAAAATATATCAGAGAATATAATAAATAATAAAAATTAAGATAGATTTAAAAATAATAAATAATAAAAATAAAAAATAAAAAATAAAAAATAAAAAATAAAAAATAAAATAAATAATATCCAGTAAATTTTAATAATCATGGTAGTTTAATAATAAGAAAATAATAATAATAATAATAATAATAATAATAATAATAAAATATTTTAATATCATACACAAATAACTTATATTTAATAATTATAATTTATAAAGTGCATATATGATGTGACGATACATAATTTTTCAACATTTGTATATTTTAAAATAATAAATAAATTAATATTTATAAATCATTTATAATTATAAAGTGTATTTATTTTTCAAAAAAAAAAAAAAAGAATTTGTGTAGTTTTTTATTTTTTTTTAAATATACAAAATTAACAATAAATAATACCATTTTTCAGTATGTTTTGTTTGATTAATGTTTAGTATTTAGTATTTAGTAATTAGAATTTGGTAGTAATGGTTGTGGTGTGATATATCGAATAAAATAATACATCAAAAAAAAAAAAAAGAAAAAGAAAGAAAAAAATAATGTTATTTTTATTACCCACATATTTTATATTGTCATTATTATAAATTAAACATTTCTCCCCACACTATTCACACAATCCCTCACTTTTTTTTATTATTTCACAAATCTACTAAATTATTGGCCTTAAACTAAAAAAAATAAAATTTTGTAAACATTGTAATATTAATATAACATTAATTTTAAATATACATAAAGTAAACCACATAATAATAGTAATTATTAAGTATTTATACAATTGTAGTCATTTTATTTTACCAATTTAAAATTTTTTTTTTGTATAAATATAAATCAACTAAAAAAGAATGAAACACAACATTTATTCGATCAAAAATAATAATAATTCTATTTTTAAAAAAAAAAAAAGCACCACTTATCATAATGGCTCAGCTATATTGTTTTTTTAATACCAATTGTTTATATTAATCTATATAAGCGTGTATTGTTTGAAATATGTATGGTTTTTAAATAATAGTAATTATAATTAGTATTTATTGGATATATTTCTCTTTCTTTTTTTTAAAATTGTTAAAAAATTATTTGTTAATAATATCG